TTTTAGTGGATGAAACGGCCACTTACTTGGAACTGTAAAGTGTATTGCCAAACTCTTTGCCACATGGTGGAAACGGTTCTACATGTATAACGTGAAAGTGACTAAAATGGGGAACAATTTTTTAGTATCACTTTTGTCCCAACAACGTTCTCGGATTGTATATATGTATATTATCTTTCTATCCTCGTCTCTTTCCAGCATATTATTTATTTTATTATCTTTGCTTTTTCTTAAACTGGACATTGAACTGACACTGGATACTAAAATTATTATAACGTAAGAATACAACCTGCATATAATAACTAAAATTAACAAAAATAAAATTTTACTGTGAAACATGTCATAGCTCTAAATATAAGCACGCCCCGTTGAAATATGTAGTAATAAAAAACGAATATAGGTAAAAATATGTTTACCTCGCGGATCTAAAAATTATTTATCTAAAATAATTTCTTTATTATTTCTGTTCACCTGAAACCAATAATTAATATTAACGTGTTAAATTTGGTGCGGTACTAACCTAAATTATTTGTTTAAAACCACACATTTATTTTCCTACAAAGGCGACTATCTGTAAACATGTGTGCTTTTAAAAAGGGAACTTTAAAGTGGTAATCCTATGCGATACGTGGAAATCACTTAAGCATGTAGCAAGAACGTTGCAACAACTGGTATAGGTACCCACTTTACTACTACCACCGCTTCCAATACTTAAGTTATGTGGTTTGGTTGTGGTTACTATTCATAATCTACTTTAAGTTTAGACAACTTTAACGTGGTGGCAAAAGTGGTCATAACGTTTCAGATACCAGACTAATACACCAAAAAGTTATAAAATCATGAAGTATATTCTGCTGGTGCAAATCACATGATTACAACTATGCCAATATAATATGAAGATATTTTAACTGTATGGTGGTAAATTAAGCTAACGTAATTTCCACTCATATGATGTTGCGATATTAGTTTTCGTCACTATGATTCTACTTGGTTATGTTTTTGAGGGAGCTCAAATTTTAGAATTTACCGCCTGCAAGGCCTATTTACTCTCTTAAAATGAATTAGTCAAAAATAACTAATTATAATTGTCATAGCGAAAAAGCAGTCACTAATAATTATTCAAATTCTACTGAATGAATTAGTCAAATTGGTAGATTTAAATTTAAAAAAGTTCTGACCCAGCCAGGGTTTGAACTCGGGTATGTCGCTTGTCAAACCTGTCAAGCGGATTTCATAACCAATGTGCTATCAGTCACTTTCATAAAAATCAATTTTATTTGTCAATAAATATTGTTCATAATATTTTAAAGTTGAATATATTTTTGTGTTGCTGTTTTGAGCTAAACTTTTTGCATCTTTGTTTATTTTCATGGGCCATTTAACCATGGAGCCTATAAGCATTTAACTTAAATCTCAAATAATACTTTGTTGTTGGCTGCAAACGATTAAAAAAATTAGTTACTTTTAACTCACAGAAATATTCATAGATGGTGACTTATCATAAATTAATCAAACTTTAACTATTTAAGTAGTGAAAACGACTATTTTATTAGTTAAAAATGCTGGTACTAATTCAAATAGTAGAATTTTTACCAAGTATTTCATTTTAAGAGAGTAAGGTAGCAACTTCATATATACGACAATCTTTAAAGGAAGTAAGGACCCTTTTAAAATAATTTTAAGCAATTTTTTTATTGTCCATAAGGGTCGTATCGATTTTGTTTCTAAAATAATTTTCTTACAAATTTTTTTTTTATTATATTTTTTTAGAATTACATATGCATTTATTATCAAATTTAAAACTATATTTTGGACTATTGATCATCTGTACTTAAAACCCTATAACAGAAATAAAAAAATACTTTTATATAATTGACAATTTGCTTGTTGATTCGAAGAAATGACATTTTAGGTATCTTCCAGATCAAATTGACCAGATCTGCTTTTATCGATTTAAACCAAATGGATCTACGTGTTTTTGGCATTTTATTTTGTTAAAATAGCGACTGCAATAAACGCAATTATTCGTCGCATCACGCCCGCCAATGCATCTTTAATCTTAGTCCAATTAAACCAATGCCAGAAAAATTTAAATCTCATAAATTTCGTATTGAATTAAATTAGGATGTATAAATGGTTTTACCCCTCTTCATTACCTCCCTTTATTTATATACAAGCAAAAATCAATGACAAAATCACAACCTCATTAGCGGCTATGATCCTAAAGCTTTAAAGAGGTAGAATTTAAAGAAAGAAACGGGACAGCGAGTGTAAATGGATATTTAAATTTAAAAAAATTTCAATCGCTGAGTTAATAGTCCATAATAAAACAAAATCAGTAGGTTAACTAAATTAAAATTTGTTCTTGAAAAAATATTGTCAATATCAGTTAATAAAAACTCTATTAGATAAAATAATATAAATAAAAAATACAACTTAATTTTAACAACGAAATAAAAGCTTGATTCTTTCATAATATAAATATTTTGTTTCGTTTTTTATTACTGGGATATGTTTAAATTTTGTAAAGAAAATATAAAACGCATTTTTATTAATAAAACAAAATTAAATAGATAATGAAAAAGGCTAATTTGGGGATTGTTTTCAATTTGCACTACCAATATAAAGTACAGGAGGAAATTTTTTTTAATTTAAATATCATTTATTTTTAGTGAAAAAAATGTGTAAAAGTGTTTTGTTTTTTATTACTGGGATATGTTTAAATTTTGTAAAGAAAATATAAAACGCATTTTTATTAATAAAACAAAATTAAATAGATATTGAAAAAGGCTAATTTGGGGATTGTTTTCAATTTGCACTACCAATATAAAGTACAGGAGGAAATTTTTTAAATTTAAATATCATTTATTTCTAGTGAAAAAAATGTGTAAAAGTATGTTCTATTTATTGTTTGAATTATTTTATTTCATAAATTATTTATTAATTGATGTTAAAAATATTTATTTCAAGAATAAAATTGTTTCATTTACGTAACGTTCTGTTTTTTGTTTTATTTTGAACTATTTACTTAGTCATTGTTTTTTTTTAATTTAAATATCAATTTACAATTGCTGTTCCCTCTTTTGATTTAAATTTGAAGCTTTGAAATTATAGCCGATGATGAGTTTTTGATTTCATTATGATTTTTACTTGTTTATAAATAAAGGGAGTGGTTGAAACATTTATTAATCCTAATTTAATTTTATAAGAAATTTATGAAATTTAATTTCTTCTGGTATTGGTTTAATTGTATTTATATTACGTTAATTGTACTTATATTAAGATGCGTTTGCGGGAGTACTGTGCCGCAGAATCGCTTTAAATGCAAAAATTCACTATTTTAACAATATAGGTACAAAAACATTTTTTTCTTATTATGACTATTTCCCTCGTCCTAATTTCGACCAATCACAAACGCGCAATTTTGAATTACAAATGGTTTCTAGGTGGAAAAACTGTATGACAGCACCTGTCAGCAGTTTATTCGAGTTTACCCGCGGCAAAACTTGACAGCTGTTGTCAACAAAAATTACAATTTATATTTTAATTGTTAACTGTTACTCATGAAATAGTCTTGTCAAATACCATTCGGGCATCTAATTTTTCCTGTGAAAAAAATCGAAAAAACACAATGCTAAGTAATATTTTTTAACAAAATGCATTCGTGCAGGTGCAAAAATCCTCCTCTTCGACTCGGATTTTTGTTGCCACCAGCACTCATGCTTTTTGTTAAAATATTACTTAGCAACGTGTTTTTTCGATTCTTTTCGGAAAAATTAAATGCCCTTATGATATTACTTACGATAAAACATTGCATGCCGAAAACATGTAGATCCATTTGATTTAAAACGATGAAAGCAGATCTGGTCAATCCAGATGATACCCAAAAATGTAATTTTTTCAAATCGGCAAGCAATCTACCTATATTTTTTTTATTTTTGTTATAGGGCTTTTTAAGTACAAAGATCAATATTTCAAAATAAAGTTTTAAATTTGATTCCCAATGTGCTTCTGAAAAGATATAGTTTTTAAAAGGATAACAATTTTGTAGAAAACAATTTCTGAAATTTTACTCTTCTTAAAAATACACAGTAAGAGGGGAAGAGAAAAAATACATTTATTTGCTGGTTTAAGAGAAGTCTAATGATAATTAAAATATGTTTAAAACCTTAGAGTCTACCCTGTAACCATTTGCCCTTATTTTATAAAGTTTGGAAGTTCCATAATTAGTGTAAGAATAATAATAATAATAATAAACTTTATTAGTGTTAGGAGTATACAGGACACTTTACACAAGTCAATGAAACTGACTATACACTGTGTGCCTAAACGAAATATAAGTCACATAAAAACTTTACAAATATACAAATCATGGTATTTTTATTTTGTTATTTACACGAGTTTGGCCCTTGCAATAGGGAGGGGCAATGGATATCGGCTGATACTAAAACCGATATCGGCCAAAATTATTTTTTTGACCGGGAACACATAAAAAGGATATTTATAATAACTTTACATTAAAATAAGCTGTTAATGTTTTATAATAATTAAAAAGGTTTCAACTGTAAATGAACTAGGTTATGTTCGTGTTTTTAAAAAAAACGTTTTTTTATTATTAAAAGACAAAGATAACAATATAAAGTGGAACAAGGATGGTAAGATTTTTCTTTTGCTAAGTCTACCCTCTCTCTTATAATTGTACAATGTACATTCTATGATATGTAATCGCCTAAAACTTTATCTTAATATCTGAAACCAATTTGTCCCACGCGTGGCTAGGTCACGCTCCTCTTCCTTCTTGTAATATTCACTTATAATACATTATTTGTTAATTTAAATTTAATTGGACTATTGGGACTAATGGTCATTATGGTTCAGTTTGCACCAGGAAATGTTATTTGTATAAAAATATTTTTCTGAATGTTTATAATTTTTTTATTACAATTTGTTCAAAGCCGCTCAACAATATGCACCATCCGATACAATGTTATTTTTTCTAGGTTACTTAAGTTACATCCCAAGGTTTTCTGAAATAATGAATGGAGAAGTTAAGGATAACCTTTCTATAACTCAAAACATTGAATGGCAGTTTTTTAGTAATGAAGTATATGAAAAATTGGCTGCTGATGTAATAAAACCTGTCACCAAAAAAAGTAAGATACAATATTATTTAGAAACCTTAAAATTTTAATTTATCTAAATATATACTAAATGCTACAATTTCAGTTGAAGTTCTTTTAAACAACACAGATATAAAGATTATTGTTTATAACGGGGTTTTGGATTTTTTGGTAAACACAGCTGGTAAGTAAATAAGTATATTAACCATTACCCATATTAGATAAAACCTAATTTAAAAAAACTCAAAAAAAAAGTTAAATCAGAAATCGTGGGCAATTTTGATCTCTATATTAAAATCACATTGATTTGAGTTTTTAAACATCCTAGAGTTATTCAATAAATAGTTTGAGTTTGCATTTACAGTTGCCATCTTTTCATCTGCATACTTTTTATAATACCTACTATTAAATATTGAAAAATATATATAATATTTAAATTTGCTTCTTTGAAGACGTGCTTACCTATAAGTAAAAATGTTTTAATAAAATTTAAATGACTTTTTATATTTTAAGGAACAAGACTTTGGATGAATAATTTAAAATGGAAACATAAGGATGAGTGGAGAGAGCTGAGGCAAACGCCTTTTGAAGTCGAACAAGACGTAGCGGAGGGATACTACAAAAAGTATGGAAATTTAATTTTGTACGTCATATTTCGAGCAGGACACAGCGTAAGTTCAATTAGGTAGAAGATTGCATAATTTACTATTAAAGTTTGCAGATTATTAAGTCAAAGAAAAAAATTGGCAAAAATTAAAATAATATAGTCCAATGTCGAAGAGCTAAAGACCAAGGCAGTCGATGCTCGAAACGCTAAGAAAAATATATTTGCAATGATTCTTGGAATGCTTATTAGCTTTGCCAACTTGTTTTTTTCAAGATACCTCCAGGGTCATAAGAATTTCAACCTAGTTTATAAGATTTTTACTATACATTTTTTTAAAAGAAGGGGTACAATTTTGACAAGATTATGTGAAGCTTGAATAGCTCGTTAAAATATTAAAAGTAGTATTAAAAAGAATGTTTTTTTTTTCGGTTTTAATGCATTACTTGTCAAAGACATTTTCAACAGAATTTTCCTACACTGTTACAAAAATCAGATTTTTTAACATGAGTTTGTGGTTTGTAAATTTTAACATATTTTTTTGTATAAAACCAAGGTTTGTAATTATTTAAAAAAAAAGGAAAATATTCTACCGAAAGTTTTGTAAAGGTAATATGAAATTTTGTAAGCATTTTGTTAATTTTTCAAAATTATTTAAAAAGTACACGTGATTTCAGCAGGGACCCGGACCGGACCGCTTTTGGACAGAAAACCGGACCGGAACCGGTATTTGCGGACCGGAACCGTAACCGAACCCATATTATTTTTTAACCTAACGCTAGAGACCGAACCCGAACCCTTTAAATTTAGGTTATTTTCGGTTTTTTTCTTAATTTTTTTTTTGCAAAAATTTAAAAAAATATATTTTAGATCGTTAAAAAAATCTATAAAATTAGGTTTTGCCAAAAAATATTTGAGCACGGGCTATAAATCTATAAATTATACACTCTAGCACAAGTATTAATACTAATAATTATTAGGCATTCCTGCTGTGTTAATAACAATTGTAAATGTTGTATAAATAATTATTGTAAATGTAAACTAAAATAACTTTATTGAAAAAAAAATATGTCATATATATATACACGTATATTATATAGTACTAGGCAACACTGTAATTAATAAACCCCTACTACAAAATATCCCACCGACTGCGCCATAAAGTAAATAATACCAGAGTAGGTTGAAGACTGATTTATTAAAATGACTAGCATGTAGGTGTATGTATCTTGACTAGGCATGGGTGGTAGGTACATTTGTAGTGGGGATTTATTAATTACAGTGTTAAGCGTTAAAAGGCTGTTTTTCGGTCACAAATTTTTACTTTCCTAGAGGAACAATTATTTGTGAGAACCCACATAATTTTTGGAGAAAAAGAACAACAAAAGTTTAAAGTTCAGTTTTTTTTATTTTTAAATATGAATTTTCCAGTTTTTCAATCGAAAGATCAGAATAAAAGTAAAGAAACAGAGAATTAAAAAAATTGAAGAACCTGATTTGAAAAAAAGAATAGACAAAGTAATTTAATTACATGCCAAAAAAATAATTTTTTTATTTTATAATTTTACTTATTTATACCTACCTATGTACATGGTAAAAAAATTGGAACCGAAAATATTGGTCCGAACCGGACAGAAATATTTTTTTTGGAACAGTAACTGAACCCATTTGGGTCCGGGTCAATCAAATAGTTTCCCACTGACAATATGCATCAATAAGTTTAACTGAATTCAGCGCAGAGCTGGAAAGTTACTTCTGAAAAGTATCTAGTTACTTTTCTAAGATACTTTAAACAAAATAACTTACCTCAGATAACTAGATACTTTAAGTTGAAAGTATCTTTAATTACAAGATACTTTAGAAAGTATCTAAGATACTATCCGAAAGTATCTAAGACAATATATGAAAGTATCTAAGATTCTAATATACTTTTGAGTAACTAAGTATGAATAAAAACTATAAAATTATGAAAATTCAAGTTGTAGGTTAGGTAATTACTTTGAATCATTCTGTAATTCCCTCAATTTTCTCTAAGTTACACTGAAAAGTATCTAAGTTACTTTAAAAAGTATCTTAGTTACTTTAAAAAGTATCTTAGTTACTTTAAAGTATCTAAGTTACTTGAATCTATCTTAGTTACTTTACCGAGTAACTTATATACTTTTTTAGATACAATTTACAAGATACTTTTCCAAAGTAACTAAGTTTGAGATACTTTCTGTCCAATATAAAAAGTATCTAAGATAAAGTATCTTAGATACTTTAAGTATCTGCTTCAGCGTCTGCAACTTATGTTTCTGCTTACTTTATTCCAATTCCTAACGTTTTCGTAACAACTGTCCAGAGTGTTTATAATATCGACCTATTTGATGATTTCAGAATGGTTTTACTGTGTAGGAATACAAAAAATTCTTTAGTACCAAATCGTGTTAAAGACTGGGTAAATTTTCCTATGGTTGGCAACGCTGATACGCTGATCTTGATTTTCTCGCGAACCGCTCATCAGATTTAATGATGTAGGTTGACTCTTTAGTAACGATGTAAACATTTTTATTTTGATTTTTATTTTAGCATGTACTGTGGGGTTCAGCTGCAATAACAGCGGATGTTAATTAAAATCACACTATAGTCCTATCTCTTTTAAACATTTTTTATAACAGTACTTTATAATTACTTTAATATTATTATATAAAATGTTAACAACTGAATGAACTAATCAAACTTTGTAAATTTGATTTTATTAAATATTATTTTAATTTTTACCTTAAAATATATATTTACTTCTGATTTTATATTAAAAAAATATTTGTTTATCGTCGGTTATTTTGAAATACGCAGTCAATATTTTAAAAATATTTTCCTCATGTTTTGCACAAAACACAAAACCGGGTTACGTGTTTACATAAAACTGGTTAAACAAAAAATAAACATAATATTATTATCAATGCAAAATTAAAACAACCTATTTATTTTCAGGTGCCTGTGGATAATATGCCGGCTTTTAGGCAAATATTAAAACAGGAATTGTTGTGCGGAGAGTTATAAATTGAAAAATTTGTACATAAATATGTAAATATATTTAAATTTAAGTTTTGTAACATTCTATTCCCATATGTTGATTAAATGATAAATAAATTATTCTGGATAGAAAGAGGCGAATAAAGTATTTTTATTTTCAATAAGTCTATAATTTAAACCTTATTGTTGTCAATTATGGCCTAGGGACTTAAAAATAATTAAGACCAATTGGTTAGGTTTTTACAGCCTAGAAAGTAAAAAAATTATTATTTACTACATTAAACCAATGAAAAAAATTAACATCTGTCAGAACTACTATACCAAACTTTATACTTTTATATTTATTTATTTATAATATTTTATTATAGCCGAGAAGTGTCTTCTTGTGCTTTGATCAGCACAAACAGACTCACTTCTTGACCTAATGGCTCTCTGACGTGTTTAAACTTTATTGTATATTGTATATTGTATAACGAATAAATCTTGAATCTTGAATCTTATAACTATTTTCTTCTTGCGTATCATAATAAGCAATATTAGGACATGCATTTAGGTTTCTTATTACAATACAAAAATAGGTGGGGGACTTTTTTTAAAATTTTTGAAAACTTTAGTTAGCATAATAATGAATAATTGATACCATTAATATTATTTTTTAGTTAAACATTTAGGCCATTACACACTTTAACAAAAATACTGTAAGTTAGTCATGGATTATATTGTAACGATAGAAAAATTCACCAGTGTTTGGAATCACAAAGACTAAAGAGCCGACTATTGTTGATTTAATGTTAATTTTTGTTTTTCAAACGTTTCAAATAAAACATTTTACAAGGAACTCTATTTTTCTTAAATATTGAATTACAGCGCCATCTGTTGATAAATTAAAAAAAGTTTTAAATAAAAGTTATTTATTTTTTAGGTACTACCAAAATCTGTGAAAAAAATCGGGTCATCCCATTAGACTTTCCAAAGTTACCCCCCGTTTCACCCTTAAGGAGGGGTAGGAGTGGCTAGAGGTACACTGAAAAAAAAATATTCTTGTATCAAATAAATTTATTTGATTCAAAACAATCTGTGTCTCATATATAACGAAGAGAATATATTCTTTAAAATAGAAAAGTATTTTCTTAATTCACGTTGATTTACTTTAAGAATATTTTCTTAATGTAAGAAAATTAAATTTCTTTAAATAAAACTTTGATTGTTTAAAAGCAAGAATATATATTTTTTACAAAAACAAAGAAACACTGCATAATTAGGCATAAAATTTAAGAGGAACGTGTCGGCATCCCCACTTCTACGCAGTTTTAAGAATATGTATTCTTGGCAAAAGAAAATACTGTTTATAAAAACAAATAAACAAATTTAAGAATATCTATTTCTTAATATAAAAAAATTAAAAATATCGTATTCTTGATATAAAAATATTAACAATTGTACCAAGAAACCAACTTAGATTTCCTTCAAGAATATTTAATATTTGAATTAAAACATGCAACTTTTTAAAACAAGAACCTGTTTCTTAATACTAGAATATTTTCAAAAATACAAAATTCTTTTTTAAAGAAGTTAAATATTTTTAATTGAAATATATACAGGGTGTTTCTTTTAACTTGAGACAGCTCAATATCTTGAGAAATACTCATTTCACGGAAAAATGTTTTAAATAAAAGGTTAATGTGACCAAAGGGGACATTATTTGGTGCTACCGCTAGCCACCCCCTACCCCTCCTTAAGGGTGAAACGGGGGTAACTTTGAAAAGTCAAATGGAATGACCCGATTTTTTTCACAGAGTTTGGTAGTACATAAAAAAATTAATAACTTTTATTTGAAAGTTTTTTTCAATTTATCAACAGATGGCGCTGTAATTCAAAATTTAAGAAAAAGGGGTTTCCTTGTAAAATGTATTATTTGAAACGTTTGAAAAACAAAAATTAACATTAAATCAACAATAGTCGGCTCTGAAAACAATTTATAACAAATGTTCGAAATGTCGTCCTTCCATTTCGACACCAAGTGGATCACCAGCGTCCCTGGTCGGTAAACGTTTGGTGCGGTACCTTAAGCGAACGATTAATCGGACCCTTCTTTACTGACGGTGCATTAAATGGCGAAAAGTACCGGAATTTTCTAGAAAACTATCTGACGGACCTTTTGGTCCAAAAGTTTTGGAGGATATACCACTAGCACGGCTCCAAAACATGTTGTACCAGCAAGATGGTTGTCCTGCACATTATTCGACAATTGCTCGAGAGGTGTTGGATCGGGAGTTCAATGGCCGGTGCACCGCGGTGGATCGGTAGACGTGGTCCAGTAATTTGGCCTGCTCGATCACCTGATCTTACGCCACCAGACTTCTTCCAGTGGGGTTACTTGAAAGAAAAAGTTTACGCTGCAATTCCTACAACTTGGGAGGACATGGTGGAGCGGATCAGGAACGCCTGTGCGGCGATACCGCCCGATATGTTGGCGCGTTGTGTGCCAGAATTCATTACCCGCATTCAAAAATGTGTTGAAATGGAATAACGAAATTTCGAACATTTGTTATAAATTGTTTTCATAGCCGAAGATTGTTGTTAATGTTAATTTTTGTTTTTCAAACATTTCATTTTACAAGGAAACTTATTTTTCTTAAATTTTGAATTACAGCGCCATCTGTTGATAAATTGAAAAAAGTTTTATATAAAAGTTATTTATTTTTTTATGTACTACCAAACTCTGTGAAAAAAATCGGGTCATTCCATTTGACTTTCCAAAGTTACCCCCCGTTTCACCCTTAAGGAGGGGTAGGGGGTGGCTAGCGGTAGCACTAAATAATGTCCCCTTTAGTCACATTAACCTTTTATTTAAGACATTTTTCCGTGAAATGCGTATTTCTCGAGATATTGAGCTGTCTCAAGTTAAAAGAAACACCCTGTATTCTTATTTTAAAGCAAGTTGACTTGAATTAAAAAAATATTTTCAAGATGATTGGTATTCTAAATGTAAGAAATCTTTTTTTTCAGTGTAGCACCAAATAATGTCCCCTTTGGTCACATTAACCTTTTATTTAAGACATTTTTCCGTGAAATGCGTATTTTTTGAGATATTGAGCTGTCTCAAGTTAAAAGAAACACCCTGTATAATGGACTGTGCCAAAAAAATCGACTATTTTTTTTTGTAAAGTATGTCGAATATATTGTTTGGGGTGACAAAAAAAAATTATGGTAAAAGTTTCAGTCCATAATTTTAATATTAAGAGGTCTTTCTGATAGACCTCTTAATATTAAAATTATGGACTGAAACTTTTACCATAATTTTTTTTGTCACCCCAAACAATATATACATTAGGGTGATGCAAAAAAATTTTTTTTTTGAATTCTATGCGAGACCACTCGGGTTTTCAAAGAGTATCAAGAAAATAAAAATCTGTAAAAATTTGAGAGAAATCAATTAAAATTTAGAGGTCGCTCAACGCAATTGTTTAATTTAGAAAAATCACGCATCTCAAATGCATTGCTATAAACAAGTAGGCATATTTCATACAAATTTGAATGAAAATGGTTGAATTTTTTTTTGGTGGACTCTTAATGATTATTCTAATAAATAATGTTGTCCCGATTTCAAAAAAATTTTCATAATATTTAAAAAATATATATTAATTAGCAAATATAGCTTAGTTAACAAATAATTCATTCAATTTTTTTTTTGTTTCAAAATCTGTAAAAACATTGTTAATAGGTCTACAAGCAATTATTCATTCACAAAAACACTCGCCCCCATCGTTAAATATGAGAAGAAAAAAAATATTTTAATTAACTACACTTCGCGTCAAATTTAACGCACTACTAAAAGTTTGTCACATTTTCAAAGTTGATTTTCTCGCGAACCGTCAAACCGAATTTGGTAATTTTTGTTTTAAAATTGAGGTTTATTCTTTGGTTATGATGCCTTTATTAAAAAATTCTTTTAAATTTAAGTTTTGAGTATATACATATATAACCGTCAAACCTAATTTAGTTATTTTTATAATAAATTGTAGGTTTATTCTTCGGTAATAATGCGTTTATTAAAATATTTTTTTAAATTAACATTTTGAGTCCCGGTCCCTTTCGCCCGGTAATAATTTTTTACTGATGCAGGATAATGCTATACAGGGTGGTCCAGGATTAATCTGAAAAATTTTAATGATTGATAGAGCCTGAAAAAACAATAAAAACAAACCCAAAAACATTTTTTAAAAATACACACTAACACACTAATAGCCCTTCAAAGGAAAAAAAACGTTTTTTTTTTAAATAAATTCTGCTCAAATTTTGTGTACCTAGGTAAAATATATTACAAAAGGCCCAGCGGCGGATATTTTGTGGGGGTTTCCCCTTTTTACCCCCATATTTCGACACCACTGGATTTTATTGGAAAATCATCAGATTTCTTATTCAATTTAGAAGCAAAACTTGTGTGTTAAATTTTCATAAGATAATTGTTTTCGGAGACTTTAAAATTTCAAAAACACCGAGTACACGGAATTTTATCATATTTTATTTTAAATCGGTAACTTGGTAACAATTATGCCACGTTATCAGTTTATAAAATAATATAAAAATAAACTAGCGTCATCGTGCAGTTGTTACTGATCCCGTCATATTTTTAGGTTGTTTTATTGTAACGTTGATTGAGGATTACAATCAACGTCTGTAATTAATAATTTAATTGTATTATAATACAAAATCAAACCAACCCAAAAACAAACCTATTGAAAGTGATTATTCCATAATTTCATTGGTAAATTTTTATTGGCCCAATACAATCGTTCAGAAAAAAAATAATTTTTTATTACTAAAATAATAACAAAAGTTCCGTGTACACAGTGTTTTTGAAATTTTAAACTGAAATATCTCCGTTGATCTGATAAAAAATAAACCTAAAAGTTTTGCTTTTAGATTGAAAAAGGATAAAAATAAATCTGATGATTTTCTAATAAAATCCAGTGGCGTCGAAAATATGAGGGTAAAAAGGGGAAACCCCTCCCAAAATCTCCGCCACTGGGCCTTTTATAGAAAATTTTCATTATATTATCGACGGAAGCTTAACCTACACAAAATTTGAGAAGAATCGGTTTAATGGTTTAAAAAATATTTTGAAGGACTACCTAT